CAGTACCTCTCCATAATGTTCAACTTGATTATGAATATGCAAAGCTATGCAGAATTTATTCTGTTTTAATTATTAAATATTTAAACATTTATTTAATATTTGAACAAAGCAGTTTTTTGCTGATTATTTCAAAAACTATATATAACCAAAAAGAATGTACTTTGTGTGTTACGTATAGGACTTGGCGATATTAGAAATTATATATCGTGATGCATCGTCAGTTTTGCATCGCGATATAGTATTTTTGAATTTCATTTACTTGTAAGGCACAGAAAGTCAAATTTCCATCGAAACTCCATGCTCAAATTGATTTAAATCAATTTATAAGATTGAAGATATATATGTTTTGCTTAAGAAAGATATTAAATAAATTGACTACTATGCACAAAACTTACTTAAAATATTTATTGAAAAAAAGTGTAGATACAGAATGAAATATTTGCACCTCTTTATCGTTTATAAGGTATTAGCAGTCTAATTAAGTACCTAATTACCAAAGTTATTAATTAATTAAATTATTAATTAATTAAATTATTAATTAATTAAATTATTAATTAAATTATTAATTAATTATTAATTAATATAGGTAATTATTAGGTAACTTTACTAAGCTTTTAACTAGAAATAAGAAAAAAAGTTTAAAACGATAGGTTTATGAATTATTTGAAAATCAATTAGTTCAAGCAAATGAAATTTTGAAAAAAAATAGTCTACAGCCATAAAAAATAATTTTACTAAATGAGCCATACAAGAATAACTTTGATAATTACATAATTATTAAGTTCGATTGTAATGTTCAAATTCTAAATGAAAAAGTAAACGCAAGTTTTGTTATATTTTCTAAAAATGATCACGCAAATAACGAAAGATTTCTTAATTTAAAAATAAATAATAAACAAATAAATAAAATAGAAATTTATCAATATATTTACCTAACAATATAGAAAGAAAATTTAAAAAATAAGTGCGTTAAAAATTATTTGTATGTTCAAAACAAAGTGCTAAATAAATTTAAAAAAAAATTATAAAACGCTTTTAAATCACTATTTTTTATTATTATTATTTCACACAAGCAATTGCATTTAACTGAATAATGACCGAATTATGAGCGAAAACAAAGTAAGGTTTAATTTCTTAAAAATAAAAACAAAAGAATTGTGATATTCGATAATATATTTAGCTAATTAACTAATAATATTAAAAGAAAATTTAAGAAAACTGATTGTACTTTCTAATAAAACGAAAAGAATGAATAAAATTCGCAAACCTTTCAATTTTTTTTGAATAAGCGAAGTTTATTGACTTATGTCCAAATCCAAATGACAAAAAATAAGATTTGTTTTAACTTTATTTGTAAAAGTAAAAGCAACTCAAGATTTATAAATTTAAAATCAGTAAGAAAAACCCATTAAATTATTAGAAGTTTTATCCAAAAAGTTTTTAATAAATTAAAAGAAAAGAAAAAAAAAACCTAAGAAATATAATTACTTTGTAACTTAATTCTTTATGGGCGATTTAAATTAGATTTTGCGATAATTTTCACATTTAAAAATAAAAAAAAGTTTTGTTGAAACAAAAATTACCTAATTAATGACGAAACTCTTTATAAATTCTTTTCAATAATAGATTGCGTTCAGAACAAGGCAACGGCAGCGATCACGAAGTTAGTCCCNAAAAAAAAAAAAAAAAAAAAAAAAAAAAAAAAAAAAAAAAAAAAAAACTAAGAGGTGCGAAAACGAACAATGCAAGATCACGATCACCGCTAATCAATCAAGGCCATTTCAACATAACGAAACGAACACCCCGAGTAGGCATCGGAGCGTAAAGGAAGATCCTTACGTGCCTTATATCGCTATATCGTTATATCGCTATATCGTCCTTCCTCGACGACTTAAATCAGATTTCTGATGCATCAGAAATCTGATGCATCGCCTGGAACGAAAGTAAGTCGCTGTATCGATTCGCCGATATAGACGTTAAATCGATATGTCGCGATACATCGATTTATAGCCCTATCCTAGTTACGTATACTAAGGCAAAGAAAAGAAAAAGTAACACACGAAAACTTTGTGAATAAAGTGAAAATAAAAATACAAAAATGAATAATTACAAAATGCATGGACTACAGTTCCGGTTTTATTAAAAAAGAATCATCCCTCTCTTTATCTACCGAGTTTGATTTCTGGAAATCGTTCCTAATTTCTTGAAAATTCTAACAGTTTAATTATTCGTCTCTCTAGAGCCCCTTATTTTTTTAAAGTTTAAAAAGTAATTTTAATTAAAATTTTTGCACCTTGAAATTCCTGCCAAACAACCTCACACCTGTTATTTTATTATCCTAATCAAGCTTATTCCTTTTTCCCTATTAGTTAAACCACTTTTCTAGTGTTACTTTAATTTTTTCATTCATTTACTAGAACCTAAGCTAAAAAAAGACAAATTCTGTAACTTTATTTCTGCTTATTTTCTTATTTGTTTGCTTTATCTGTATAACCATGCAAACAGATTATAAAAACAGTAAAAATAAAAAATTTAATTACTTTTACAAGGGAAATATATGTTGTTTCTTTTATCCTGAAATAAGCTTTATAAAGCCAACGCATATTTTATTCACAGTAAACTGTAGGTAGGTTAATATAAGTAATATTGATCACATTCGGCTTATGTGATTTATAAGGAACTTCATAATTGCTTTTATAATTGTTTTTTTTGTCTTCTTTTCTTTTAAATATATATATATACATATATATATATCTATCTTTATATATATATTTCGTCTGTGCGTGTGTTTGTCACTGAACTCCTCCTAAACGGCTGGACCGATTTAAATGAAATTTTCTGTGTACCTTCAGAAGGATTCGAGAATGGTTTAGATTCACAATTAGATTCACAATGTTTTTTTAATTAATTTTTTATTGAGTGGGAAAAAATTCTACTTCTTATGCGACTTCCAACAAGAAAGCTTTAAATGTTTAACGCTACATTTTTATTGGCCGGGAAATCACGTGGTAGGATCCAGTTTTCCCTCATTCATTTCCATATTGTTTTGGTTCTCACTAGCATAAAAATAATAAAAGTCATAAAACGTTTGTTTTTCTATAAATATTTTTTTAGTTTGTTTTGATAGACATATAATTTAATAGGGAGCAGGAAAAAGAGTCGTTGAATAGAATTTGTAATTTCGTGTTATTATTGTGTTTGTAGAATTTTGAAGTGTGCATTTTAAAAATGTAAAAAACTACACATTTTGTAGATTCAGTGCGGAATTGAAGTGAGTATTTTTTATAATTTTAGATTGAATTTATACGTGCGTTGGTTAACAACCACTGTAACCTATAAATTTATTTGTGAAGCTAATTGATTTCATATAAAACTTTTTCAATTGTTTTTATTTAAAATTTCTTATTTGAAACAGTAAATAAAAAAAAGCAAAAAAATAAAATTACAAATTTTTTATCTAAAATTTGGTACAATAAATCTTTTCAGTCCTGTTACTTAATTAAAATATCATTTTCAATAAATTACTCATATTTTTTATGTACTATTTTACAGTAATTTGTTTTACAAAGAAATGCCACGTCTTCGTGGAAGAGCAAGAAATATTGGTCGACGTACTCGAAACGCTCAATTGGTCCATGATCATCGATTGAATAGAACAGTTGAAGAACACTTGACGGATAATGTGAATTTAAGAAATCAAGTTGCATCTTCACGTGAAAATGAAAATTCAGAGCAACGCAATCAACGTCTTCGTGCAAATGCATTAAGACAACGAGAGACACGCCAACGAGCGACCAACGAAAACAGAGAACGTGACCAACGGCGAATGCAAGATAATCGAGCATTGATACGAGCATCACTTAATCGTCTTGCATTTGAATATGACCCTGAAATAGACTATTCGTCACATGCATTAATCTTAATCGGTAGTATGGACAACGAGTGTCAATATTGTCATGCTTTAAAGTACAAAGGTGAATCAGCTGGTTTATGTTGCGCATCTGGAAAAATTTCACTTCCACCGTTAAATCCACCACCGGAACCTTTGAAAACATTATTAGCTGGAACCGCATCTCAATCGAAATTGTTTTTGCGGAAAATTCGTAAATTCAATTCTTGCTTTCAAATGACATCATTTGGAGCAACAAAAATTGTTCATAATGAGGATGGTCGTAATTTTGAATCTACATTTAAGATTCAAGGTCAAGTGTACCACCAAATTGGTTCATTGCTTCCAATGCCTAATGTCGATCCAAAATTCTTACAAATTTACTTTATGGGCGATGAGGAGCAACAAACTCATACACGATGCGTATACAACCATATAGAGCAGATGGAGGAACGAGAAATTGTGGACATTTTGGAAACGTTCTTGCAAAACCATAACCAATTGATACGATTGTTCAAGACTCTTTCCAACAGACTGCAAAACGACAACTACGCCATTGTTATTAAAGCAGACAAAGTGCACTATGGAGAGCACGCAGGCCCACATAATGTTCCAACTGTTAATGAAGTTGCAATTGTTATGGCTGGTGACCCATGTGAACGTCGAGATATTCGCATACAACGCAGAGATAATATAATACAAATAATTCAAGACAATCATCGTTCTTACGACGCACTGCAATATCCGTTGATATTTTGGGAAGGAGAAGATGGATATCATTTAAATATTAAACAAAGGAATCCAACAACAGGCGCAACTTATAGATTATTTTATAATTTTTTTTAGCCAATTATTTCTGTTTATCTTATAAATAGTTTTATTTACAGGTGAAGAACTAATCAGGAAAGTTAGTGCAATGAACTTCTTCGCATACCGGTTGATGATTCGTGAAAATGAAGATAATAACATTCTCCGATGCAGACAGCTATTTCATCAGTACATTGTTGATATGTATGTAAAAATCGAAAGTGAGAGATTGCGTTATATAAAATTTAATTAAGTGAAACTTATGCCTTACTCTTAATATTATGAATTATGCCTTACTCTTAATATGCGTGTTCAACTTCAAAATGATCCATTAGCGTCAAGATTCTCCGAGCAACTGTTAGACATTGGCAATGATAAAATTCAATTGTATGAAGATACACAATATATTCGACTCCCACAGAATTTTTGCAACATTGTGCCTACCAAGGAGGAGTTAATAAAAAGTATCTTTCCAGATTTGCCACAAAATTATACTAATCATGTATGGCTTAGTGAGCGAGCTATTTTAGCCGCAAAAGATTTAGATGTTGACGCAATTAATTTTAAAGTACAACATTCATTGCCTGGTAGTGAAATTACATTCAAATCGATTGACATTGTTGTTGATCCTGATGAAGTTGTCAACTATTCTGCCGAGTTTTTAAATTCACTGGATTTACCTGAAATGCCACCCCATAATTTGCGATTGAAGATTGGTTCACCTATAATTTTGCTTAGAAATTTGAATGCTCCAAAATTATGTAATGGCACGCGACTGGTCATCAAAAAAATCATGGGTAACATTTTGGAAGCCTCTATTTTAAGTGGAAAATTTCAAGGTGAAGTTGTACTTCTACCGCGGATCCAGATGATTCCTTCAGATTCGCCTATACCATTCAAACGTTTGCAATTTCCAATCCGCTTAGCATTTGCTATGACTATTAATAAGTCACAAGGTCAAACAATGACAATTTGTGGCTTAGATTTAGAAAACCCGTGCTTTTCTCACGGTCAATTATATGGTGGGTGTTCCAGAGTTGGAAAACCCTCGAATTTGTTTGTGTATGCTCCTGAAGGATTAACCGAAAATATTGTACATCTAATGGCATTACAATAACTTAATTTTTTTTTAATTGAAAAAATATATCTGTTATAAAATAGTTTAAGTTTTCACTTTTTTACCTTTAATTAAAATAATTTTAAGTTTTGATTTAAAAGAACCTCTACATTTAACTTCACTGATAGTATACACATACTCACACGCTATCGATTGGTCGAATTGTGATAAGATATATGTAATGACGCTAATATGATAACTTTTTAATAAAAATTTACATCAAAACGATCCAGATTGTTACAGCTTATTCAAAAAAATTTGAAATTTTCCAATTAATGACGCGTGTACAGGACATCGTCTGTCGGGTCCGCTAGTATATCAGACCAGAGTTTTAGCCATGGGTTGAATCACATGAATTGATAAATTTCAATTATAATTTTTTTAATAATCGAAACAGTTTTAAATATCTTTCCAACAATTACTCAATGTTAATTTTTCTCTTCATTACAATTTTACATTTTTGCGAAACACGTACATATTAAAAAGTTCATTCTGAAACAAATCTGTCTCTTAGTCATATTTTTTAAGCTTAAAGATTTGATGCTTTTTTATCATATCTAAAAGGGATATTTTTTCTCTTTGAATAATTCAAAGGTGATTTCAATAAAATATCTACAACGGCGTCATACCCAGAAATTTAATTTACCTTAAACAAAAATTTTGATATATAAATTAAATATTAAGAATAAGTTTGTAGATTCCAACCTTTTTTTATAGGTCGTTGATCGGAATAAAAAAGTATATATAATTGTTTAAATAAAACGGTACTCAAATATTTACTTAACGTTCAATAAATATTTTTATTCTTTAGAGATCAAATGCTTTATGAAACATCACTATATTCATGATAAATTTCCATTAATATAATTTAAGCAATGAATAATTTAGAAATGGAAAAAGTTATTTATTTAAATAATTAATGCAGTAAGATTTCATTTTTTCTTTTTTTATACATCAATTAAAACTGCAGAATTTTCTTCAAAGTGAATATTTAAATAAGAAAATCAAAGTAAAAAATGAAAGCAAATTTTTTCTTTATTCTAATTAAAATTTAATTAATCAATGCATTATTAATAAAGTGAAAAATAAAATTTTCATTCTTTGTTAAATTTAAATGGTATCTTTTAGTTTTATATTGTTTTAAAAAAAATTAGTTTTACTCTCTGAGCCTAATATTTTTCATTTATTTTTAATTTTTAAATTAAATGCTTCATCAAAAATATAAGCGGTATTTTTGAAGCAATACATATGCAATGTGTATTTTTTTTTAATATTTATAAAAATTGTTAAAAAATTGCATGTGCAATTAGAATCAAAAACATTAGTATTAAAATTAATTAATATAAATTAATTTAAATTGAATTGGGAATTTTGAATCTATTTGTTAATGATCAAGTTATAATTGAAAACTTTTAATGATTTCACTATAATCTCACTTGAAATTTTATTACTGATTTCTTAATGAAAAATTAATTGATTTCGAATGTCTATTGCAAAATTTCAAAAATACTACAGTAGTTATAAGTCAGGTCTTTAATGTGGGTTTGAAAAGCATGCATAAAAATAAAATAGAATGGAGTGTAACACAATTATATGCATACATGAATTGGAGTAGGAATGCTTGTTTGACCTTGATTTAGGGATATGTTTTGGGCAAGCATGATTAGAACAATCATAGACCTTCCATAAACACTACTAGAAATTAATAGTTATAAGATAATTAAAAAGAAATAAGAAGAAAATAATTTTAAAAAAGTGAATAAAATAGTGTTTATCTATTAACATTTTGCACTCAGATACTTAAGGCATATACACATATTTAAATTTTTTTTGGACAAATACTTAGATTAAATTTATGCGTTAAACGCTTAATAACCGTAGAATTGCCCTTTGTTATTAAAGAGATGTTCGCATCACGCTTGTTTCAACATTTCTGTTTACTACCACGAAAATAAAATTGACGCATCGTGGAATCATTTAGCAGAAAAAGAACCTGAAATAAGACTTTTAATGCGTATTGTTAAGATTCATTTTCTGGTCATTGTTAAATCATGTCTTAATGCTTCAGAGAAAAGATCAATCTTTTTCTGTAGAAATATCTATCAATTGCTAGTGAAGATATAAACTATAAATTTATTATTTTTGTACAGATCGCATGCATGTAATTTTGTATCTCATTCTCAATTTTGTATCACCCTTTGACAATTTCACATGTATGCACGATTAGATTATTTTGTATTAGTAACTTGTCTTGCGTTGTTTTCTTTAATGTAAAAAATATAATTTTTGCACTTTCATTACGAAAACCACCCAGCTACTTCCAAAATTACTGCTCTTTACAAATTCTTATTTGCTCATATTCAAACAAAATATTTATCTTTATCTTATTACAAAATATAAGTGTATAGGGATTATTATACATACAATTCCTTACAGCATATAAAAATTGACCATACCGAGTCTTCTGAATGATGTTTCTGTCAAAAAAAGCTAGGAAAGCTTTGAAAGGAATATCATTCTATACCACCAACGCAATGCAAATACACCGGTTGCTTAGATATGGTTAATTTCTTGTTCATTTATTTCTCTTAAATGACATTTTCTTGTAATACTATTCTAATTTTTATGATCAATTTGATATAAACAGGATCTCCTATTGCTTAAAATGCAAATGAAACCTTAACTGAAATGTTCAAAACTAGACCACATATTATTTGCTCAACCGAATATTTCAAGAATTTCAACTTCTATTTACGCTAATATTTAATCTAAAATACATAGTGATTTAAACTCACAATTAAACAACTATATAAAATATAAGAGTTATTTAAATTTTTTTGAAAAATACGGCAGCAAAACTTATTTTTTTAAGCAAATAATTAATGAGATGACGAAAACTATGAATATTTATTTACAAATATGTTTATAGAATTTTCAGTCACTACTGTAACTATATATATATTAATTAGCACAATTAATTATGCAAATATTGGTTTAAAGTATTACTTGGGAAATAATGCTAAACGGAAAATAATGGTTGCACACTTTAATTGATTAGTAAATAGCCGATTTTGGTTAAACAGGTTAAATGTAACTTTCCAGAAGATATATGAATAAAATATTAGGAAGCTTCGTCATATTTAGAGCTGCCTATTAGTTGGCCCAATTTAAATAGTATTAGAATGAGCTAACATACCCACCAGAATCCCATTACTTTAATAGCTAATAAAACTTGCAATATAGGCCATAACACTTTAATTAATCACCAATTTATGCTACGACGGAGGGTCATTTAAATTAAATTGAGTCTATATTACATAATGATTAAAAATATATTTGTTTGATGTTGATGTTACGCTTCAGTCACATCTACCATAGATTCAGGTGATTTCTAATTGAACTAAGATTGCTATTTAATATAATACGCAAGAGATGCATCACGCATTAAAATTAACTGAAAAAACAGTTTTACAAGTTATGAAGATCCTTAAATGAAAATAAAATATGGCATATCACATATTTTTTTCGAAAGCTCCATCAGGAAGTTTTAAACAAAAATGCCCTCCAAAAGAATTTGAAAGTTTCTAAGCACTATATTGTTCACAATTTTTGTATAAAAATGTTACTTATAATTATGAAAATAATCTAAATAATAATTTAAAAACCATTTAATTTGGAATTATTATAACGTAAAAAAATATATTTTTAACGTTTAGTTTTTGTACAAAAAAGAACTTTAGTTAAAATCGTTATTAATTTACAATTAGAAAAGTTATATATGCGTATTTGGTATATGTAGTGCATTGGCAAGTAACAGACTATTTAGCTACAGAAGAAGAGGCAGGTTATAAATAATCGGAAAAAACAAGACCTTGAAACTTTCTGCTTTTTTTTCTTTCTTGTCAAAAAAAATAAGTCTTTTATGGTGGAAGTACGGAGCTCATGCATCCAAACAAATACAATCCAATAAATACAATACAGATAAATTTCAAATTTAGTTATATAAATAAGCCATTTCATAAAAGAATATTTTATCATTATGTTGCATTTTTATTGATAGGAAAAATTTACTTTAAAGAGCTCAACAAATTTTGCTACAAAATAAAAAGTATTATCCGGTTTGTCGAAACAATGTTTTGTTTGTTTTTGAATAAAACAAATCTATAAATATTATTTTATCGGCTTCTCCAATATGAAATTTACAATTTTGTAACTTAAACTTAATCAATTTATTGAAAAATATCTATCTTTTGTAGATTTTGCTTGTAAAAAAATAAGAATATTATAAGACGAAACGAAAAAGAAAGCATCATATTTTAAGTGTATCATTGTTGTAAAGGCTTACGAATTTTTGCTATTCTAGTTCATCTCATTTATTTCTGTAAGAAATAGCTCGAAAAAAAACTTAATTTGATTTACAAAAAACTACTTCACAAAGCATCAGAACAAAACTTTATTTAAAATACAAATAAGAAATGTCATGTCTGAAATTGAAATAATGTTCAGAAATATAGTTTTAAAAAAAATGTGTTACTTCATAAAAATAAATTGTTACAATTCATATCTATTTCATCTCTTATTATATTATTTCCAAATTATAAAGGGTAAAAATAAGTTACATAAACTGTAACATATCTTACAGTGAAACTTCACATTTAAGCAGTCTTTTGTGTAATCTATCGATATTATATCAAACGCTAATACGTACGTATGTATCAATAAAACCGATGATATTTCTTTTCTCGCGCTGACAACAGTTTTCATTTTTAATTGATTGGATTCGGCGCGCAAGAGCACGTAGTGAGCATCATATGGCTGATCGGTTGAATTCTCACCGAATTATCAAAAAAATTCTCACAAAATTATCTTCATCGAAGCCAATGCTNTTTTAATTGATAGGCTTCGGCGCGCAAGAGAACGTAGTGAGCATCATATGTCTAATCGGTTGAACTCTCACCGAATTATCAAAAAAATTCTCACAAAATTATCTTCATCGAAGC